ACTTCTTACAAGCGGTCGTCGAGGCTCCAGTCGGTTACGGTGTCCATCTGTCCGGTCACACCTCGCTTACTGCTCACTAGCAAGCTCCCATACGCAGCATGAGGCACAAGGACCCCGCAGATGATCCAGAGCACGTCCCGCCAATACGGCCGAAGTCGTACTTGTCCCTGCAGGCGAAAGCCTCCGGCATCCCGTCTGACCTGAGGAGACTAGACGGAGCCCTCTTTAAAGCTGGACATGTTCACAACCGTTGCAGCCAAAAATTCCCGAGAGATGGTCGATGCGTACCGGGGTCATGACCCCCTAAAGCGGTTTTCGCAATAAACAAACACCTTGGAATATGACATTCTGCCTATATATCATGCGCCGCTGTGCGGCTGCTGGTTGGGCTCGAGAGAGAGAGCCCTTAAGGCACAACGGAACGAGTGAGTTCCGTATGAACGATCGGTGAGCGCCCCCTACCACCGTATATTCCCGATCGAAAACCGACAGGGCAACGGGCTCGTGGCGCAGTGGTTAGAGGCATGGACTTCTAACTAACAGGTCGCGAGTTCGAGGCTCGGGTGTTCCATACTGCGGGCTTGGGTATGACCGGCTGACGACGGCTAATAAGCCAGAAATGGCCATTCCGGTCTCCCTTGTCTTTGTCGGTAATGCCATTCTACTTTGGAATATGCTGTCCGAACTAAGGACTACTCCACAGTAGTTATGTTGTCCCAACATGCATTCTCTGTTGACCAAGTCATTTTGTCTGATACATAAGTGAATGACAAGGTATTTGTCTGCCCAGAAAGACCTATCCTTGAATTGAAAACTGCACACCGCAGTAGGCGTAATGATCAACGACCCCCTAAGGTGCTCAACGCGAAGACATACGCGACAACCCCCCCCCCCTCCCCCAGAGGATAGTCAACTCACTGTAGTGAGAAGTGAAGGTGTATTTTGAAGACAAGAATACCCTGCCGTAGTGAAACAACTTGTTCCTAATTATTACCAGAAGAAGGGAATACAGAGTTTGGCGCAGTCTGCAGCCATCAGGAAAACATAATTTTGAAGACTTCAGGAAAGTTGCAAATGTCTTGTTACCACCCCACCATCAAACGTTGACGGTAGCCAGCCTGTGAAGAATATGTGCAGGAGGCTGCAAACAACTACAAAAGTGGGGGCATTCATATGGGGGAATTCTCATTACCACTTTGGCTATTCTCCTGCTTTTCGATTGGCCGCTTTTCTTCTCGAGGGCCTCGCACAAAACAACACGGTTTCATTTGTGCGAGTGTTGTAGTTTTGGCGGTTAATAAGATGTCCCGTTGGATGGCGTCTGAAAATGGCTATTAGTGAACATGACATACCTCATGGAGAATGCGAGATGGATCGCTTGCCAGCAGACTTCTCTCAAAAAATTGAAGCCATGCAGTGGCCTCAGCAGGGCGGATGACATATTTCCAGTTAAATTCTTCTCACCACCTCGGACAAAATCAGAAGCATATCATTGCGTCCCAGCCAGAAAATGGCCCCTTCATGTAAGTCGACCGTAGCCATTGCATGCGAATGCATTTGACAAATCAGACTGGATATACGCGGCCGTATTTGTGCTGGAAGAAGTCTTCCACTAAGTCGGCGCCATATAGGACATATATTCGCCTTACTGCACGGCGACTTAGGCCGTTCTGGACCGCGACCGCAGGTAGACAAAGGAAATCCTCGCACCGCCATGTCTTCTTAAGTCATTTGCGCCGCTCATGCATTTTACTCCCAGATTATGCAATTGGCAGTCGCTAAAGGCTTCTGGACGGTATGCCACAGTCAATTGTATCCACCAATACAGGTTAATTTGTAAATGGCTAGCGTAATCGCGGTTTCGACATCTGTGCCGCTTAGGACGCCACCCAGCTCTCCGAACCTCTTCCAACTTCATTTCCCCTTTTAGACGACAACGGCTCGGTCAACTCCACTTAATTGCCAGGGTCCTCATGGATAATTCTATCAGCACCCAGTGATGCTGAGATTGCAACAATTAGGAACTAACCGCAGTTACCGTCAGTAGACGCAGGGACCGATAATTTTAACAGATATAAAGACGAGTAGCAACTGCATAGTGAAACACCTGACCACATGCAACATTCTGTGATGCCTTCTGAAGCCGCCAATTTTGATAGGCATGCAGTGACGTAGTCGCTGTCTCTGTTCACACTCTACGGTAGGGCAAAAGGTGGATGTCGTCGAAATCGACAGTTGAACTGTCACAGCTGAGCGATCCCCCACGCCTACCTGGTGCTGTTTATGATAGATTTTAGTGAGGATTCGAAACTTCAGACTAATAAAGCTATTGTTCTAACGATCGTGTCTCCCTCTTCGCAACTGCATCCTGTATCTAGCCTTCCCGCTATTATCAGCAAAGATAAAGATTCCACACCAGCTGTCATGTAGATTGATAGGTGCCTATGTAGTGGGGCTCTTTCAGGGCTGTCAAGCTGACCTCTGCAGTAAAATCGATAGTTTAGAAGCGGAGGTCAGACGTCTAATAGTCGCCTCCACACCGCTTCCAGCTGAGGAAGGACCGGCTTGTCAGCAAGTAAGTTTGCTGCCCTACTAGCAAGCGAGCTCGCGTACTCTAGGGGGGGGTAGCGGGTCTCTAGCCAGCCCGCGATTTCATTGGTTCTTGGGTCGGCTGCGCCGGCGTCGCGAAAGGCGCAAACGGCCGCGTATACTTGCACTTGATTATCTTCGGCGCCCGATAGTCCTCACATTCTCCCCGGTGCCTTTTTTTGCCTTCTCAAGCTGCGGTGCGCACGCCGTGCCCGCCTCAACGCTCTCATTGCCTACCTTACCCGTCTTTGCCTTTGTGTTAGATTTTGTCACCTTTTACTGACAAGTATGTTTAATTCTGTTAGAAGGCGTAATATCCGGCGTCAAGCACGTAGGGAAGCAGAAAAAGTAGTACGAAGAATCAGTGAAGAGGTGAGGGAAATGTCGTCGTCGGACACATCATCTTGCAGTTGGTCGGACAGCGTCACGGACGAATCTGAGTCCTCCTGAGGCCGGCCCCAGGAGAAGAGGGCCTTCTATGGATCCAAACCGTACGGTTTGGTTGTCGGAACATCATTCAATTTCGTTATGTCATGTAACAACATAGATGCTTTCACAGTGTGGAACGCTGCAAGCAATTGCGACGAGCACCGACTAGAAAAGGCTTCCCGGACTGCCTTCAGGAAGGCTTACGACCGACTGCACAAGCGAGGTTATAGGCTATCATCCTTACAATGTCCGGACGGTTAGTGATGTCTTTATAACGCTTTATCCATTAATTCGTGTTTCTTTACCACTATTCTGTTGGCATTCAATGTTTCAATTGACACTGCGACTAATATCATCTTCTTTGATTTCAGACGATGAAAGAAACCAGTCATCTCCTGGGCCGGCCGGTCCCTCAACACAGCCCTAAATTGGGCCAATTGTACATATTAGATTGATTCCCCTATTTTTTGTACAGCTTTTTCGCCTCTTTAGAGACTAATGCTTTTAATTACTCTTCAGTAAAAAGATCTTTTGTAAAAAACAGCCTTCCTTATGTCCTGCTTAAGGGAAACCAAAACTGGGGTGATTGGGGAGGTGAAAACGGATGGGGGTGGGGTATGGGTTATTTGTGGATAAAGGAGAGGGATGGGTTCTGTCTGCGCAGAATCTGTGCCGACTGTCTGTGCGGATTCTACGCCGATTAGGTGGGGCAACGTCCACGCAGATTCTGGACAGAATTGTCCTCTAGTAACATTGAGTAGCTACCCGATGCACTTGTAACGACCGATTGTTTTAAACGGACCTCTTTACTTCCCACCCTCCCTTTTTCAGAATTTGGTTCACGTGGATACGTGGACGCCTGTCGACGCACTCACCGCTAAGTCCCTTTCCCTTACCGTTTACGTATTCCTGAACTGCTCATCCGTTTTTCGTATCGTCTATTTCGTAACTAACCGTCCTTTTCCACTTTTCGCGTTTATCGATTCATTGAAATAAGTTGTGTGCCTGTATTTGTTTAGTAACCTGTACATACTATTCTTACCTTTATAGCAGATCGCCCTAAACTTATTTTTCTACCGTTCCGATAACCTTTCGCTAATAAACTTTTATATCCAGTCCGTCCATCGTTATTATGTCTACGCCACCACTATCCTTTGCTAGCGTGTATGACGGGGTAACCCAACTTTTAGAGGAGTTCTCCCTGGCTTCCCATACGAAAGACCCCAAGCCATCGTATTCGACCTCAGGCCTCCAAGAGCCTCCCCGGGTCCCTCCCTACTCGGCCGCTACATTAGTGGCAGCTACTTGGCCCACGAACCCTTTCGTCGATCCACCCTTTCCCAACCCTCCCCCAGTAGCCCCTCCAGCCAACCGTCTATACACATCAGGGCCTAGCCCTTTGTCAGCCCCGGACGTCTACGAACCCGGGCGCAACATTCGCGATTGGCTGTGTGACTTAGACCTTTTCCTGACCGACGTCCCACCCCACCAACATACTTGCTTCTTACTACGTTTCCTTTCCTCATCCGCCAGGCGACGCGCCTTCGATGCCGGCCTTACACTAGCTACCCCGTTCCCCATCGCCTGCCGTTGCGTTGTGCAACTGTTCGATACCCCCGACGCGCCTGGCATCGCGGCAGAGCGATTTGCCAAGTTACGCCAGGCCCCCCGGCAATCTGTTGACGATTTCGCAACGGAGCTTACCCGACTTGCCTCCGCGGCTTTCCCCAACCTATCACACCCCGATCGTGACGACCTCATCCTCCACCGTTCCATTTCAGGCCTCCTCGATCGCACGATCACCGACTCCTTCCTTCTCCACCCCCCGCGTACTCTGAACGACGCTTTGCGGCAGTACCGACTATACCTTACGTATCACCGAACCCACCAACCCCCTCCGAGACCCCCGTTACCCCCGGCTCGGCCGGAGCCCCAGACAGACGGAACCCTTTGCCGGTCCGCTTCGCCGATCACAACCCTGGCTGCCAGTACTGCGCGGCTTTTGGACCACGAGCTCGCCACTGTGGCCACAACCCACCTTGTGAGTCCACCCCCATTGACGCTATTTACTTTCATGATTTTTTTTCTATCCCCGCTTTTACTGTGCCGATACTTGTGGATAGTCACCCAACCCGGGTGTTAGTAGACACGGGCGCTAATGTGTCGCTTGTTACCATTTACAAGCTTCCAAATCACCTACTGCGTCACGTAGACCCACTTCCGGCTCCCCGCTCCCTCCGCGCCGCCAACGGCACGGAGATACCCGCTTTGACCACTGTTTCGCTACAACTTATGATCGAAAACACGCGTATCTTCCATAGGTTTCTAGTTACCCCCGATGGTCCCTGGCCTCTCGTTCTCGGTCTTGACTTCCTAGAGGCTCACGATTGCGTAGTCCATGTTCGCGAACGGCATCTCACACTCGGCCGAAACACTATCGCGCCCGCCCCTCCGGCCACTATAAACGACTTCGACCTTATGTACAACTCAGTACTTTCTGCCGTAGCGTTAGATCCCATCCCCTTAGATACCGTCCTTCCCGCCCCCTCAGTAATCGGTCCGGTTGCGCACGAGCAGCTTAAGACCCTCCTCAACTCCTTCCCAGACCTTTTCGCATGGTCCACCGACACCATCGGGCGCACCCACTTGATTCAGCACACGATCGACACGGGAGACGCCAAGCCCGTGTGGCAACCCCCGCGCCGGATCCCATTGCGCTACCGTGAAGAGGTCAATAAGCTGTTAGATGTACTGCAGGCTAAAATCATCCAGCCTTCGCCGTCCCCATGGGCTTCTCCTATCGCCCTCGTGCCCAAGAAGGACGGATCCGTCCGGCTGTGTGTTGATTACCGTCGCCTTAACGCCGTGACAGTCCGTGATTCCTTCCCACTCCCGCGGTTAGCTGACGCCCTCGACGCCTTAGGAAATGCTGCATGGTTCTCAACACTGGACCTTAAATCCGGTTATTGACAGGTAGAGATACATCCAGACGACCGCCATAAGACCGCATTCACGGTACCCCAAGGTCTGTATGAGTTCCAAACCCTTCCGTTTGGCCTGTGCAACGCAGCCGCCACTTTCCGGCGCCTTATGTATCGTGTCCTCCAACCCCTCATATCGGACAAGTGCCTCGTCTACCTCGATGACATTATAGTGTTTGGGAGGTCTATCGACGAACACAACCACAGTTTGCGCGCGGTATTGGAAGCCCTCCGCTCTGCGGGTCTGACCCTTAACCCCACTAAGTGCCTTTTTTACGCCGTGTGGTAAATTTCTTGGGTCACTTAATCTCCCCCGGGCGCATCTCACCCCTTCCTGACCGCATCCAAAGTATCCGCACGTGGCAAACTCCCTCCAAACAAACGGAGTTACGCAGTTTTTTGGGGTTAGCGTCATACTACCGCCGTTTTATTCGTGATTTCGCCCATATTGCCAACCCCCTACACAAACTCACGGATAAAGACAGACCCTTTGTCTGGTCTGGCGACTGTGCGTGCCGCCCTGTGCTCGGCTCCCCTACTTGCCCTCCCAAACGTTGACAGAGTGGCACCCCCATTTATAATAGACACCGATGCCAGCGGGTACGCTATCGGCGCCGTACTCTCCCAAGCCGATGCGAACGCAGTAGAACACCCGATCTGCTTCGCAAGCAATACCCTCATCAAACCACAGAGAAATTACTGTACGTTCCGCCGCGAACTCCTGGTGATCGTCGTGTTCCTACGTCAGTTCAAGCACCTGCTGATCGGACGACGTTTCGTCTTCCGCACAGACCACAGAGCCCTGCAGTGGCTGCGGTCCTTCAAGGACCCCATGGACCAGCTGGCACGCTGGCAGGAGTTCCTGCAGGACTTCGACTTCGAATGCCAGTACCGCCCGGGCCACAAGCATGGCAACGCAGACGCCCTTTCCCGCCTTCCCCACGTCATTGACGCAGACCCTGGTGTGAAGACAGCCGACGTTAACGCTATCGTCGTGTCTGAGCCTACACGCCACGAATGGGCAACAGCGCAAACAACGGACCCCGACACGGCCACTATCTACCGCCACCTGAGTCTAGGGCTTCTTAAGCCTGCCGAGCAGGAAATGAGAGGCGCCAGCCAGAGCGCCCGCCTATTGCTCAACCAATGGCCCTACCTCACCATCGAAAATGACATATTGTTTTTCCGTGACCCCACTTCCAACCGGCTACGACCCGTCGTTCCCAGATGCTTGGTAGAATCCGTACTCACTGACCTCCACACACAGCTAGGACACAGCGACCAACACCGCACGGAACTCGCCGCCCGCAGCCGTTTCTGGTGGCCTCAACTACGTTCAGCCGTACAACATTTCCGTCAGTCCTGCGCCACGTTCAAACCTCCCTCCCCCTTCACCCCGTGCCCCACTACAACTTATGACTACCGGTTTCCCAGGCGAGCGTATCGGCCTGGACATCTTGGGACCCTTACCAATATCGATGCGCGGGTTCGAGTACGTCCTAGTCATGGTGGACTATTTCACTAAGTGGGTGGAAGCCGTGCCACTCCTCCGCTAGGACGCGGCATCAGTCGCAAATGCCATTAGCCGCACTTGGATTAGCCGTTGGAGCGCCCCCTTGTCATTCCATTCAGACTGCGGCGCAAATTTTCAGTCACAACTCCTACAAGAGGTCTGCGAGATCCTAAAGATTCGCAAAACCCTAACTACTCCGTATTACCCCGAAGGCAACGGCCTCGTGGGAAGGACCAACCACACACTACACGAGCTCTTACTTGCATTCTCACGGGACGGGCACGAACACGACTGGGACGCACATTTACCTCTGTGCCTGCTAGCTTATCGCGGAGCAGTACATTCATCCACGGGGTTCACCCCTCACTACCTCTGGACTGGCCGTGATCTACGCCTCCCAGCCGACCTTTGCTACCCCCTACTGACGCCCAACCCGTCCACACTACACGAGTACGCCACTCACCTCCGAGGGGTCATACGCTCAGCTCATAACGCTGCCCGCGTCGCATTGGGAGCTGCTACCCAGCACAAAAAGGAGCACTTTAACCGCCACACCGCTGGCACCCCGCACCAAGTTGGCGACCTGGTGATGCACTACAACCCCGTACCCCCACACGGCACCTCCGCTAAACTCCACCGTCCCTGGCAAGGACCGTTTACCGTACTCGACGTGCTCGTTCCCACCACATCCCTGTTACGCGACGCCGTCCATCCTGATTCCCCCTCCTTTACGGCACACTTTTCCAAACTCAAACCTTACCGAGGACGCCTACCCATTTGCACTCCCGATTCCCTATCCGTCATCCCCTTAGACCTAGTTTCCCCGGTAACCATTGAGGTCTCCATCCCCTCCCCCATCGACTGCACCAGCACTGAGGACAGTGCTGTACCTTAAGAGGGGGGCATTGTAACGACCGATTGTTTTAAACGGACCTCTTTACTTCCCACCCTCCCTTTTTCAGAATTTGGGTCACGTGGATACGAACCGACGCCTGTCGACGCACTCACCGCTAAGTCCCTTTCCCTTACCGTTTACGTACTCCTGAACTGCTCATCCGTTTTTCGTATCGTCTATTTCGTAACTAACCGTCCTTTTCCACTTTTCGCGTTTATCGATTCATTGAAATAAGTTGTGTGCCTGTATTTGTTTAGTAACCTGTACATACTATTCTTACCTTTATAGCAGATCGCCCTAAACTTATTTTTCTACCGTTCCGATAACCTTTCGCTAATAAACTTTTATATCCAGTCCGTCCATCGTTATTATGTCTACGCCACCACTATCCTTTGCTAGCGTGTATGACGGGGTAACCCAACTTTTAGAAGAGTTCTCCCTGGCTTCCCATACGAAAGACCCCAAGCCATCGTATTCGACCTCAGGCCTCCACGAGTCTCCCAGAGTCCCTCCCTACTCGGCCGCTACACACTCTTATCGCGGAAATCTCGCGATTGGGCTATCTCGTCACCAGATTGGTCTGCGAGTTAATCGATTTCTCACAATCATTGGCTGACGCGATTGAGTTATCAGTGTAACACCCCCAACAGAACTGACGGACAGAAACTCCTTGGTTTTAATCGCGACCACTCTTTTGTAGGTCGATCGTGAGGACTGATCACGAGTGAACGATCGTCGACGGTCGTCGTCCCGATAAGTCCCATCTCGAACTCTTTACCTATCTGCTTTGTTGTACATTTACGCTTACATGGTTTGCTGTATCGTTTTCCACATCAGTTTTCCTCGCCGTGGTCCGCGTGTATCCAAACACCCTCCGAGCTCCTAACGTTTTCACACATGACCGTTTTTCCGCTGTTTGCTGTGGTCATCCTTTTTCAACCCAGTTACATCATAAGTCTTAGTTATACTCTTCCTCTCGTATACAATAAACTGTTGCATTTCCCAACCGTCGTTTAACATCCCCCACTGACTTGTGTGACTGTATGCGAATGCTTGCGTAATGGACATCTTAGGCTCGAATAATCCTGACCCAGAATCTCTGACCAAGAAGAGGAAGTTATACTCAGAATCGAGCGATCTACCGGCAGTCCCCTCCCCGAGCTCGCGAGGTATTACATCAGTGATCCCACGCCGCATGCTCGTCGCCATCATTGCTTTCGTATGGCGTGCGGCGTGTGCTGTTAAGTGCTCTCTGCCTCAATCTGTTATACCCTTATTTGATTAATAAACCCATCTGTTTTTACGTTTGAAGTGTTTAGGCACGAATGTAGACGCACCATTAGGCGGTACTGGGAACTTGGCCAGCCGCCAATGTCACCGGCAGTAAGTTTCCATATACTTACGAAGGTTTCTGCTTAGGATGCGAGAGTCAGATAGAGATTCCGTAGACACCCTTCTAGCACAACGACCGACTAACTACACAGGTAATGCTAGGTGACACTAATTTTCTTTGTAGTTTGTCATGACTCGTCCTGCCGGGCAATGATTGCTGATATGCAGGCTCAGATGAGGCGGCAAGGAAAAACAATTGAATTTATGCGTAAACAACTGGTCTGGCTCATAAAGAGCAATTTACGCATTCATGAGAACCTGCACACCATGCAGGTAAATAATGATCGCCGACAGCCCGCCCCAGGAAGCTCGGAGGCCGCCTTTCCCACCAACCCCCCTTAAGGCGGCCCATTTGCACAAAGTCCGACTTTCTGGAGGTCAACAGCAGATGCATGACCCACGGGTCAAGTCCCGACTGGTAAGGCTTATCAAATTTTATGACATTCAAAGGCAAACTTCCTGGTATGCCTCGGTGGACGTAACACCGACGACTTCGTGAAGGGGGTATTTTATGCCCTATTTGACTTTTGAAACCAAGTACTGGACAATAGCTTCCGAAAGCAATTGGTATGCTACCCTATTTGTAACTTCCTCTTGTGTTAGACCTCCTACCTCACATGCCTTGGTGGGCACAATGTAGATGACTTCGTCAAGCGAATGTTCACGCAGGATGTTCAAAAAGTGATGGACCATCATCCATGCAAGATGCTTCTATGTAATAAACCTTTTTAAAATTATTTTTTAATCCAATAAACTTTTTCTCTTCTAACACGCCGGGTTAGGGATGACTAAGGAGAACAGACGATAAAAAAATTGGGTATGGGTATAAGAACAAGTAACGG